CCCGGCTGGCCCACGCCCAGCTCTCTGCCCCCACGCTCCAGGGAGGCTCCTGTCACCTGTCTGCGCCCCACACGCTCCCGTCCGGCGGCGCCGCGGGCTGGCAGCAGCTGGGGCAGTCTCGGCCGGAGGCGCCCCACGGGTGACCGGAGCCGAGTCCAGCCCTGCCCTCCCTGCCCTCCGTGCAGCCAGAGGCTGGTGCCGCAGCTGCCGCAGCGAGTGCGCACTCTGGAGCCTGACAAACAGGGGTGCTGCGGGGTGCTCGCGGGGTGCCGGGTCAGTGTGGGGGCCGGCCGGGCGCAGCTCACAGTCCGCCCTCCCCCACCCCGCCGCTGGGAAGGGCACAGTGAGGGGAGTGTCGGGCCACACTCTGGCTGTCCGGTTCTGCTCTGTGAGTGGACAGCTGGTCAGAGCGCAAGGTTTGGGCCTCCCTCCTCCTCCCCCTCCCCTCCGGCCTCCCCCTCCCTCCTCATTCTCTCCCTCTCTCATCCTTCCCCCCCTCGCTCCCCCCTCCTTTCTTCCTATTTTTTTTATGGTTTAAAATGGTTCCCGATGGTGGTTATTTATCATCCTTCAGATTTTTCTCTTATATCACTAGAAGTTTTTGAAATACCTTTTGAAGATTTATTTGACTTGCAAAGGTTGCAGAATTTACTGAGTTGCCTTTTATTCATTCATTCATTCATTTTTAAAAGATTTTATTTATTTGTACATACAGAACTGGGGTACAGGCCAGAGGTGCAGGGGTGGTGAGAGTGTTACAGGGTGGCCCAGAGTGGACCGGGCCGCCTGTCTGTGGGCCTCACCCGCGCACTCACAATTCGGTTATACTGCAGGGACACAGAAAAGGGTCAAAAACGGGTTTATTCATAAGGGGAAAGGAGACAACCCAGGGAAAGAGAGCGGGATACAAAGTCACTGGCATACCTCACGGCTCCGCTGACTGAACACACGCTGACTGAGTCACGAGATCAGGAGAGCCGCTTCGTGAGCGAGAGGGCCAGAGAGGCAACCGGCCCTATTTATCCCCCAAATGTCCCAGAATTCCTGCTAGCTCCGCCCCCAGGTCCTCGCAGCTCTCTCCCGGGTGCTGCTGGGAGTTGTAGTTTCCAAATCACTGGAGTAGGTGTAGGGTCCCGAAAGCGGGAGAAGGGGGTGGGGTCCACAAGACTGCAGAGTTGCTTCAGGACAGCCTTCCCCTTAACAAGAGGATGCACCAGCACACGGCTGAGGGGAGCAGGGGCGGGCCAGGAGAGCTCTGCCGTGCCTGGGGGTCACGCCCGGCCGGGATGGAACTCGCGCTGCCGTGGCCGTGACTGTGGCCGGCTTCCCAGCGCTGTGCTTGAACCTGCTGCGCCACCAGGGAGGCCCTGTGTTTTTCCTCATGAGAACCCCTCTGAGGTGCAGGGTGCTGACGCAGGGCTCGGGGCTTGCGCCCACAAACACCTCCCGCTCTTGGCCCCGTCGCCTGTGTGCGACGGGTCACGCGCCGCGGCACATGCACGTGCGTGTCCGGACTGTATCGTAGGGGTTTGCTCCCAGCACCCCTGCTCGCCCAGCCTGACCCCCGCCCGGGCCAGGAGGCACTGCGGGGGGTGCCCCGCCCAGCCGCCTGCTGTGTGAGCCCCCAGAGTTTGCTTCGACCTCGCTGGCCTATTCCCCGAGCCCCCTTTGCTGATCGGTGGACCTGATCCCTTCCACGTCTCGTGGTGTGGACCCTGCTCCAGAGGCTTTTGCAAATGACAGTGGCTGTATATTTTACTGTTTTTTCTATTTTCAAAGGACGGGTTTGTTAGGAAAAACAAGACAAACACAGGGCCGTGCGGGGAGCCCGTGGAGAAGGGGCCCTGGGCTGGGGAGCCGCGTACCCCCGGGCGTGGCCGTGGGTCCGGGGGGTCGCGAGCGCCCCAGCGTGGGGACCCGGCGGCTCATTCGCGGCCCCCGCCGGCACCCGCGTGCCTCGTCAGGCCGGCCCTGGCGCCCCCATGCTGCTGTGCGTGGGGCTGCCGTCTCGCCGCGGCAGGGTGGGCTTCTCTCCCGTGGTCCTGGCAGGGGAACGCGGCGGTTCTGGCCTCTGGCATGGGCAGGGCCGCCCCCAGGGCAGCCTGGCCGCAGAACGGGCCTGGCTCACCACCTGGGCCAGGGGAGCCTGGCGCCCCGGTGAGGCCCCGGGGCCGGCTGGGCGCCGGCCGAGGTGGGTCAGGCGGGCCCGTGTGGCTGTGGCAGCGGTGGGGAGGCCCCAGGCAGAGGGGCTCCGGGAGGTCCAGTTGAGGGCAGTGGGGCTCCGGGAGGTCCAGTTGAGGGCAGTGGGGCCTTGCTCCCGGGGCGTGGTCTGGAAGGTGTGATAGGGAGGCGGGGTGCAGGTCAGTGCGGTGGGGGCCAAGGGTTCAGGCCTGCCTCAGTGTGGGGGTACAGGCAGAGTCTGGGGGCACCAAGGGCCACACAGTGTGCCCAGCCTGGGAGAGTGGCAGAGTCGGCCTGGACTCAGTCCTGCTGCGGTCCTGCAGAGGCTCACGGCGTGGCCCTGGTTGGAAAGTTCTGGAATTGCCGTCGGGGTGCCGGGCTTGAGGGGCCGAGCACAGGGGCTGCCCAGGGAGACTGGGACGGTGCGGGGCCGGCCCCGGGGGGCCACGGCAGGTCTGGCCAGAGGAGCAGGAAGCTCCCATCACTTTGGACAAGCCAGCAGGAATCTGTGCCGGTGGGGGTACCCCACTCTGTCCCCCCTCCAGCCTCCCCCCCCTCCAGTTTGGGGCTCTGAGGGCAGGGGAGGGGAGACAGCAGGGGCAGGACTGGACGCCCAGGCCAGAGGGAGTGAAGGAAGCCTCCCGGCCCTGGGAGGGTCCCGCTGGGCCTCCATTTGGGGGGCAGGTGTTCCCCTCCCCCTCCACAGCCCGCCCGCTCCATTCCCCCACGGCCTCTGCCCCACGGACCTCTCCTTTCTCCAGACAGCCAGTGGCCAGGCCGCAGGTCCGGGACAAGCCCCTCGGCAGCCACCGTGGGCCAACCCGTGGGGACCCCACATCGGGCATCCAGGGCCTGGAGCTGGACGCGTCCCTCTGAGCGACTGCCGACCCCTGGGCGTCACCTACAGGAACGGGGCCGGGCACTGGGCCTCCACGGAGGAGGGCGGGGGACTGAGGCTGGCCCAGCGCTGGCCGCGCTGACCGTCCAGCAGCAGCTTGGCAGTTCCCCCGTCAGCAGTCGCCAGCGGAGCAAGGTGAGGGCCCCCGATAACCTCTCGCAACCCCGACTTCCTCGTCTGTGGAAGGGAGATGACCCCACCGGTCAGACCAGGGGCCAGTGTGCGAGGGCCCGGCCCTCCAGCTCCTCAGACGTGACCGGCTCCTCCTGGGGAGGGTGAGCGGGGGCGCCCTCGGGACTGTGGGTCCAGCCTCCTTAAGGACTGCCCAGCGGAGAGCAGGAGGCTCCGGCCTGGAAAGTGCAGCCCGGGGAAGGACCCCAGGCCCTGCAGGGAGGCGTGGCGGGACGGCACCCCCTCGCCGCCGGCCCCTCCCGCCCGGCCCGGGCAGGGACAAGGGAAGATGGCAGCGCACCCCCGCCGGGCACAGAAAATACTCCCCGCCAGACATTAAAATGAAGTAAATAAAAGAGATAAAAATGGAAATATCAAGGCAGCAACTTCTTCTCTTCTGATTACAGAGCGGCCGCGGGTGGGGGTGTGGCGGAGTGCGGCGGCGCAGCTGCAGGGCTGATAAGGGGCCGCCTGGGTCCCCGAGATAAGCGCTGCGGCCTCAGGCCATCAGTATGCACAGCGCCAGCCGCCTGCTCCAGATAGAGTAAATATAGACGCTGCGGCTCCCCAGACCTTACTGAGCCGCCTGCAGGCGTTTAAATGCCGTGCGACACTCGGCCTCAGTCGCCTCTTCTCCGGCCGCCTCCCCCGTCCGGTGTCCGGCCTCAGCGTCCACGGGGCGGGGACGGGGGCGGAGGAGGGCCCCTGGGGCCCTGGAGTCCAGGGACGCGCTGGCCGGACGGAGCACGGAGCGGGGGCAGAGGGCGGCAGGGCGGCTCGGCCTGTGTCCCTGGCCTGCGGAGGCGGCCTCCGGCCGAGCTGCGGCCCAGGACTGACTCGGTTGCTCAGACGCCGGCACGGTGCCTCTGCCAAGGCAGGCGAGTGGGCACGGGGTGGCCGGAGCGGGCGCCGTGCGGGCATTCTGCACAGCCGCCCGGTGGCCCTGCCCGGCCGCCTCCACCAGGGTCCACTCGGCTCCCTCCCTCGCCCCATGAGCCGTTGCTCCTTCCCAGAGAGGCCTCTACCCCCTTTCTCCCCAGTGAGTGAGCTCGGCTACAGCCCCAAATGCCAGGACCAGGAGCGGGGTGGCGGCCCGCGTGGCAGGCATCGCCCAGCTTACCTGCCGGGGTGGGTGGAGGCGATGAGCCGGAGCTGGCTGGATCAAACCACCAGTGGGAAGAGGCAGGTGGCCGGGGAAAGCCAGCAGGTGAGGCTCTGCTGTGGGTGAGGGACAGAGGGCCGGTGTCTGGGCCGGGGAGGGCGGGAGGTGGCAGCAGCAGGCGGGGCGGGCGGGCAGAACTGCGCGGGCCGTGGGAGAATCTGGGGAGCTTTTCACGAGAGAAGCAGGACAGCACAGCCCCGGCGGCCTGGCCAGGACACCTGCGCTCAGCCGTCTGCTCGGGCTCCCCTGGAGGCTCGTCCGAGCGGGCTCAGCAGCCAGGCGGGGACACGTGGCTGGGGGGTGCTGTCATGGGGAGAAGCCAGGGCCAGTGGGCACTGCCAGGCCTCCATGCCGCAAAGGCGGGCTGGACTCCAGCCCTGTGACAGCGTGCGGCTGAGTGGACGAGGTGGTCCTCCTGGCTGGCAGTGGGGGGAGGCCTAAGTCCCCAGGGCTGGGCCCCCGCAGCAGGAGCCTCTGCCCCTCTGCAGGGTGAAGATCGTGTTCCCCCTGGTGTTCGCACCCCGGATGCTTCATGAAGCCTGTGACCTGTTTCCGCGGGGGAGCAAGGGGGAAGGACCCTCTTTCCCAAAATGAAGCACCGAGTCCCCGGACATGCAGACGGAGCTTCCCCACAGAAGTACCAGCTGGCTGGCATGCAGGGCTGGCCACGGCGCTCTTCTTCCAGGCAGGGTTCTTCTGTCGCTGTGGTCCGCGAGTTGACCACGTGAGATAAAGGCAAGCGCCAGGTGAAGCGTGGTCGTGTGGGCAGGGCCAGCAGGCCGAGGGCACCACCCCACCCCATGCCGCAAGGGGCCATGAAGGCATGCAGCTTGCAGCAGCCACTGAGGTGCATGCAGGCTGCGGCTCCCTGGGGGACCTGGAGCCCCCCACCCCTGGAGAGCCTCATCTCTGCAGTGCCAGGCACCTGCCCACAGATGCACAGGACTGTTTCTGGAGGTGCGAGGGCCCGAGCAGCCGCCACGTCCCCAGCACCGCTTTCTCCCGGGTGCACAAGGTGGCCAGTCTCCCAGTCTCACCTGCAGACTCACCTGCCCTCAGCACAGCCGCCCCACGCAGCATGGCCGGCGCTCCTGGCGCCCGTGCCCACGGCTGTCAGCTCCGCCAGCCCCTGCCGGCAGGCTGGCCTGCTTCTGCCTCCAGCTCCACGTGTGAGCAATGCCGCGTCGCCGAGACCGGAGCTGGCTGCCAGCAGGGAGGCTCTGTGCAATGGCAGCGGCCATGGGTAAGTATTAATGAAAACAACCATCGAGGGAGGACTGGCCGGCTGGGCTCGTCTGGAGGCTCACAGAGCACTGGGGCCTCAACAACACACCTGCCCCCCGCCACACACGGGGTGTGTAGGACTGAGGGTGGGTCTGATGGCCAGGGCCGGCCATGGTGGGTCCTGGCCACTGTGGATCTGTGTCCTCACGGCCTCAAGTGTGAGCCAGGGTGAAGGGCCGGTTATGCCCAGGACTGGCCAAACCCTGCCCACCCCAGGTGAGGGGAAAGCTTTGGCCCTGGCTGGCTCCCTTCCGGTTCTGAGGCAGCTTCCTCATCTGAGAAGCGGCTGTTACCAGGGCTGGACAGACGAACTCGGGAGGTGAGAGCTGCTGGCTTGCAGCATGTCATGGCTGTGCTGCTGTGGACACAGCTGCTGCCCAGGGGTGGACAAGAGCGCGAAGGAGCCTGGGGTGGGTGTCCAGGGGTGGGGCGGTTCTAAGGTGTCCGGTCAGAGGTCCTTCTAGGACCAGCCCTCTGTCCGCGGTGCTGAATAGAGCCGGCCCTCTGTCCGTGGTACTGAACTATCACCCGCGCGGGGGCACGAGCCCCCCAACCCCCCTCCCCAGCCGGGCCCCGACACCTCTACATCTGAGCCAGGTGACAGGCAAGAGGGTGTCGGGGAGGATGGGTGCACAGAGGGAAGAGGTGGCGAGCGAGCAGGAGAGACACAGAGATGGAGACCGGGAAGCCGGTGGTGATGCGTGGCCGGGAGAGAATTTTTTCCCAGCACCACTTTCCAACAAAACTGGTGTTTTCTAAGAGTATATTTTCATGGGGTGACTCCCCCGCCCGCTCTTCTCCTGCGCTGGGGGGCCCCGACAGCTCGGCTCAGTCAGCGGGGCAGCCCCCACCTCCCGGGGTGCCTGTGTGTGCCCCCGGGGGTGACAGGCACGGTGAGATGTAGAATTGCTGGGCTCTCCCACAGATTTTTTTGCCGTAAAGAGTAGAAAATAGCACAGCGCCATGAAGCTATCCTCGGCCACAGCAGCACGAGCTTGATCCCTGCCAGGGAGTGACCCACAGGGTGCAGCGGAGGCCTGTTAAAGACGGCTATGGCGAGTTGCAGGCTGGCTTCCCCATGAAATTATTCATCACAGGCCTCCTGTCCCCCTGCTGCTCCCTCAGCAGTGGATTTCAGTCTATCCACCTGTTCTGCTCCCTGCTCTGTCTCCCCATGGTCCCAATCTCTGACCTTGTATGCATCAATAAATAAATCTTTAAAGAGAGAGAGAGAGAGAGAAGAAAATCCATCCAGTACTGGATTAAACCAAAGAGCTCACGATCTGAATCATCATGAAGGTGATCAAGGTAACTGATGAACCTGAAACTTGATATGAATTTGAATCTGTTCATAGCCACCCACCATGCATCCACCTCTTATCCATCTACCCACCTAGGCACCCACCCACCCAGCATTCACCCCCACCCCCACTGCCCAGCTATCACCACCCACCCACCCACTTATTCACCCTCATGTCCGCCCTCCCATCCAGCACCACCTACCTGCTCACCCACTGTCCATCACCCACAGGTCTTCGTTGTGTGCACACCCTGTGCCAGGGACTGCCCACCTTTGAGAAGCACAACAGTAAACAAGCCCAATTGCTCCCCTCAAACTTCTGATCAAAAGAGAGGCCCGAGGCAGGGGTGCAGCCCGGGAGCCACGTGACTGACCCTCGAGAGGAGGAAGGAGACGTCAGCCTGATCTGAGCACCCAGTCTACAACACATGGGTGCTCGGCCACGCCTTCCTGCTGGGTGTTTCCAGTCAAGGTGTAGGTGCAGATCCAGCCAGGTAAGCAGCATGGCTGCTACCTCACCCCTCACGCACAGGGTGAGGCTGCCGGTGAGTGGTGTCTGGAGACCTGGGCGGACCCTCGGGGTGGAGAGGGCTCCTCAGGGTCTCAGCAGGTGAGTCTCCCATAAGGGAGGCCAGAAGCATGCCCCAGGGCAAGGCCCGCCACAGGCAGGTGGCGGGGGCTGGACTGCAGGCTGGAGGAGCTGCGGGGCTGCAGCTACGGGTGCGGGGTGGCCACGTGACAGCGGCCTGTGACGTCAGCAGCCGGGCCACACGGGCCCCTGCCGGGTGTGATGAGAGGACGTGGGTCCTGGGGCGGTTGCCCCCACCTGCTGGCCGCTTCCAACAACAGCTGTTCATGGCTCCTTGTGACAGGGTTTGCCATGCTGCCTGGTTTTACGCCTTCAGCTGCTTGATGGGGCCGTGGGGCTGGCCAGGCTGAGAGCCTCACGCACAGGCATGTGCATGGGGCTCCTCAGCCACCCTGGCCACATAGCTCCCCAGCCCGGTGCCTTGAGGCCCTCCCAGAGGCTGCCGTGGGCCCAGGCTCCAGGTGCAGGCCGCCATGACCAAAAAGCTCATAGGCTCAAGCTGGTATGAGTGGGGAGGCCTCTGTGAGGTGTCTCTGTGCTTCCTCTGTGACCCCCCTGCATGGCTGACAGGCCCCAGTGATGAATAATTTCAGTATTCAGCCAGGGGCAGGAGCCCCATGGGGAAGCCAGCCTGCAACTCGCCATAGCTGTCTTTAACAGGCCTCCAGTTTTGGAATCCCAAGCTTTCATTGTATTGAACCCACAATTGTTCCCAGTCCTCTGCCACTGCATAGCCATGGCCCCAGGCAAGTGGAGAGTCCCTGGAGCTGGTGGAGGGCGGGCTGTGCGAATTCCAGTTCCTTTGGCCAGCACTGGGCAGGCCGCCCCGGGGAGGACACAGCTGGACATGTGCTGCGGTGAGGTGTTGCAGGAGCTGCACGTCACTCTGCTGCTTGGATTATTGCAAGTGTGGACAAAGGGGACAGGGCGGACCTGGCTGTAATTCCGAGTCTGCCCTCAGGCCCGCCCTTGCGCCCTTCCCAACATGCAGAAGCAGACTGGTGGGGACTCCTGGGCCTTCTTGCATTCTGCTATTGCTGAGGGCCCAGCAGCCAGGCATTTTCGCAGACATTGAACAGCTTCTGGTGACAAGGAGGCACAGGTTTGGGGGTCTGGGTCTGAGAGAGATCGCATCCCACCCGCCAGTGTGGAGGAGGTGACATCCTGGGGGTGCAGGCAGGGCGAGGTGGGCTCGGCTGTTACTCTGGACACCTACATGGCCTGTTTCCCTTCCTGGGAGAGACCAGGGAGCAAGGGCTGACCGGAGGGTCCACGAGAAGAGAACATCTGCATCATCTGCAACCCAGAACCTTCTAGACGGGGGCCACAGAGGGAGGGCAGGCTCCACGTAAGGTGCGCACTGGGGTGCGCTGGCAGGGGTGTCCACTGTGTGGCCTGGATGTCTCTTAGGTGTCAGTGGGGAGCCCCTTTTTGAGAGAAGGGCTCATGCGGGTTTGGGGAGCCCCCACTGGGGAGGAGGCTGCAGCAGTAAGGTGGGCAAGCCTGACCCATCTGGCATCGTCACTGGCCTTCCAGAAGCTTCAAGGTGCTGGGCCTCTGAGGATGGCAAGGAGGCCTACAGCCAGAGGACCCAGATGCAATTGGGGGGCTCTGGGACAGTTGGGGGAGCGGCCTCTGCCAGCGCCCTCCCTGACTCACTCTAACAGGCTTCAGGGCTGCTCCCACCTGTCCAGCCAGGAGAGCCAGCAGTGGCAGCCAGGTGGCTCGCCAGGTGTGGGGCTGCC